TTATGTATAACAATAAAGCATGCCCATTTCTTTCTAATGGTCTCTCCTTATTAAAATAGTAATCTTCATAATCAATTCACATGAATTATATCTAATTAACCTACTCTGAGCTGATGCTGATTATGTGCTGATCTTTGAGAAGTGAGATTGAGAAGAAAACAGGAACGTCCAGACCTGAAGATGTGCTTATCTCTGTGTAATAATACAACAAGAAAAGCAGCATTCCTTGGAAATTCAGTCCCACAGGAATACAGTGGAAATCAAAAAATAAGCAGAGAAAGAGCCAGTAAACACAAAGTCATTAAGAGGGCCCACAGTGTTCAGCAATCGGTTGGTCAGAGTTGGATCTTCAGATGATGTCATCTGCTCATCGCAAGAGCTACAGGAAGAGACAACTGCAAATGTTCCTAGGCGCTCTTCTTTATACTCATTGCGTGTTGTTCTTGCAACACACAAATTTACCCTTTCTGTATAGAAACAGCAAAGGCAACAAGAGGTTGCTAGGAAGATTGAACCAGACACCCCATGACATTAATATGCATCCATTAAGTCCTCCTGCAGTATACACTACAGACCAATTCAGATCCCAAACAAATTTCAATGTCATCATTCCTAGTATGGTCACAATGGTGTAAAATGCTCTCTTCTTTGATTGGTCAACCCTGTCCCTGTTCCTGCTCTCTTCTCTTGGGCCTGAATGAATTAAGACATAAAGAACAGAAAGGCTGCAGAAGGAGGAGACGGTTAAAGACAATGTCAAGAGGCAAAAATTCACAATGGAGATGATCATATCTTCTATAATTATGAAACCTGCGATAGCAAAGCAAATCAGCCAAACACAGCCTATGCTGATTATCCTGATTCTGACCCCTCTTTCTTTCCTTAAGCTTCGATAAGTGATGGGATGAACAGCAGCCATGTAGTGCTCCACACAAGTCAGCATGTGAAAGAAAATCAGTCCAAACCAGCAGACAGAATAAAGAAATAACGCCCAGAATAACATGTTTAAATTATTAATGATGATACTATGATAGCCGAAGATAGACCCAAAGACAGCAAACAGGTCAGAGATGACGATGTTGTAGGTGAAGCAGTCAGAGTGACTCAGTACTTCCATGAAGGTGGAGCCTTTTTTCCTCCATTCTTGGAGACCATGTTGGAGGATGAGGATGCAGATTGGGAGGACGAGGAAGATGGTGGAGATGTTAAATGCACGATAGATGAAGGAACTTGGTTCAGAGATGAAACAGTACATGATTAAAGGGAGGGAGGTGTTCATGGAGGAAAGATGCAGATCCAAATTGAACAATGATGCTTTTGCCAACATCTGGGGAAGAAAAGAATAGAATAGTTCTTCATTCTCATTGTACAACAATAAAATTTTGGGTGCTTCACACCAACTGTGCAGAAATGAAATATAAATAGTAAGACAGCGGGAATAAAAAGAAGGATAAAAAGCCAAATCATTTGAATAAACGTACATTTTGTCTGTTTAGCCTTTATATGGTTTGTTTATTCAACTCTCCCCTTTTTTTCCCTCCTAATTTTTATTATGTATTTTATTTCTTCCATTATAAGAATGTATATTTTTTTTCTAAATTGAGGTTTTGAGGATATAGTATAGTGTGGAAATTGTAGTGTTGCCTTAGACTTAGAATTTTAAATCATGCTTTTTATTTGTTTTTGTTTCTAATGTCTCTGTAAAGCACTTTGAATCACCTTGTTGTTGAATTGTGCTATACAAATAAACTTGCCTTGCCTAGACAATAATTTTGTTGCCATGGAACCCAAAAGCTGCAAAAAATTTGTGGGCAAATTAAAATTATTCTGAAGTGATTTGAAATTTTATTCTAATCAGCCACTAAGTCAAAAGGTTTTGAGAAAATAATAAAACAGTTTGTAATAACTTGACTGTTTGACTTACTTCTGTCTGTAGTTGTGGTGGCGGAAACAAGCATCCATAAACATCAGATAGAAATGCTAAAATGTTCTAAAGTAATAACATTAAATTATGTGTTTGAAATAATTTCAAGAAAAAAATAAACTTCTGTTTTTTTCTTTAAACGTTCCTTGTTTTTGTTTTATTTTTCAGTAATACAGAAAAAACAGATTTTTACAATATAATGCAGTATATGACTATGATACTATCATTTTACCACCAAATTTTTGATTAACATTTGTCAATGTGTCAACATGTGTCAAGCAAAATGTGAGAGAAACATCTGGTACAAAAGATTATTATACCATAATGTTTCTGAACTTCCTCTGTGT